AGGCTAGGGGAGGAAGAGTGAGGACGAAAGAAATAGAGAACATGAGGGGGAGAACTGGGGAGAGGGAAGGTACAAAAGAGGGCGAAAAGAGGACAAGGGACAAGGGAGGGAAGAGAAGCCAAGAAGGTAAGGGGAGGAACGGAGTCGGGGCAGGTGCGAGAAAAAGAAAAGACAATGAGAAACAGAAGGAAGGAGGACGCGGAGGGAAGGGAGGGAGAACGAGAAGGGGGAAGGGGGGGGACAGAAAGGCCAGGGGAGGACACCGAATGGTCGAAAGGAAGAAAGGCAGAGGAGGAGAGAGATGGGGGAACGGACGGGCAGCAAACAACAAGGAAGGCAGGGGGTGGAGGGCCATTCAGGGGGAAGACAAATGAGGGGCGGAGGGCAAGGACATTAGGCTGCGCGGATGAAAGAGAAATAAGGGAAAGATAGAAGGGGCAATGAGAGAGGGGTGAGTAAGGAGAGAGGAAAAAGGATACGGACAAAGGCCGGAGAATGGGAGGCAGGGAGATAAAGGGGAGAAGAAGAGGGAAACGGGGGGAAGGGAGCGGGGCGGGGGGAGCAGGAGCAAGTGGGGGGACAAGGGGCCGTACCGGGGAAAAGGCGAAGGGAGGGAGAGGGCGGAGCAAGACGGGCGAGGGAGGCCGCGCTGGGGGGACGAGGACAGGGGAAAGAGGAGAACCATGGGAGGGGGCGGGGAGGGGCAGAGCAGGACAGGCCAAGGGCGGAAGCAAAACATCGATGGCAGGAACGCGTAGGGCCGGCAAGAGGAAAGAGACCAGGGAGGAGTAGACCAGAGAGATGATGGAGAGAGAGAGAGAGAGAGAGAGCAGAGTAGAGAGAGGAGAGAGAGAGAGCCCCCCCCCCCCCCACAACGGAACAAGGGCCGAGTAAGAAAAAAGAAGAGGAGTAAAGATGGGGAAAGGATAGGGAGAAGGGTACCAGGAGAGAAAGAAAGTACTAAAAAGGGAGGAACGGAAAAACCAGAGGGACCGAAAGCAGGCCTGAATAAGGCAAAAGCAGAAGGAAAAGAGTGAGGCGGCGGCGTGAAGAAGAGTCAAAAGAGGAGTGAAAGGAAAGGAAAAAAAAAAACATGAACAGAGAGGGGGGAGAAAAAGGGAAGAAAAGAAGGGCAAGGGGGGGAAATAGCGGGGGAGGGGAACGGGGAGAGGGAGAGAGGGAGCGAGTAAGTGGAGCAAAGGGAAGGGGAAGGGGAGAGGGGAGGGGAAGAAACGAACGGAGCAGAGGAGAAGGGGCAACAAGTAGTGCCATACGCGGGAGGGGAGGGAAGGCGATAACGAAGACAGGGGGGAGAAAGCATAGGAGGAAGGGTAAGAGGAAGAAATAGGGACGGTAAGAGGCCGGGTACGAAAAGGGACACCGACTGAGGGGAGGGGGAGGGAAGAAATGGAAAGGTATGAGAAGAGAGGGGAAAGGAGAAAAAAAAAAGACGAAAGCAAAAGAAGTCGGAATCAGGTCAGGGCAGCAAAGAAGGGACGGAGAGGGTGTGTGTGTGTTCTCTGTTGAGAGGTCCGATGTCTTTATGTGTTTCGTTCTGTCCAGCGAGGGTGAGGCAAACCAGCCGCCGGAAGCCTATGTGCTGTATGTCTTAGGGCGGGGGAAATGAGACAAGATGGGGAACGAAGGACGGAACCAAGAGGAGACAAGAAAACCTGACGCGGAGGCATGAGCGGTAATGCGCGATGCCACGAGAGAGCGCCAGCCAGAGGGGAGGGGCCGGGGGGGGCCGCGGAACGGGAGACCGGGCAGCAGGGGGGGCCGCAGACCGGACGCAGAACCCGAGAGGGGGGAGGGGGAGCGACGGAGCAGGCGGAGGACCAGGAACGGAAGGGGCGAACGAGCAGAGAGCCGGGAGCCCAGCAAGCCAGGGGAGAGGAGGCACAGAGGGGGGGGGAGAACAACGACGAGGGAGAAGGCCAACCAGACCACGGAAGAAGCCGAGGCAACGGGCACCACGGAAGGAAGGCCCGAAGAGAGAAGAGAGAAGAGAGAGGAGGAGGGAAAAGCGGACAGGCGCCCACGGGGGCAAGGACGAGCACAACCGCAGCAAAGAACAAAACACACGAAGCAGAGGGAGAGGGCCGCGAGGGAAGCAGGAGGAAGAGCCGAGGGGCACAGGCAGGGGAAGGCGCCAACGGAGGCCGGAGGAACAAACCCGAGGGGAGGCGGCGGACCGGAAGGGAGGGGGCGCAAAAGACAGGAGGGGCACAACGGAAGGAGAAAACACAGCCAAAGGGGACAAAAGAGGACACGGGAGGAGCGCGAAAACGGGAGAAGCAGGCCGGAAGGAGAGAGCGCGGAAGGGGAGCAGAAGGCGAACGAGAGGCCGAGGACGGCGGGAGAAGGGAACAGGAAGGACGAGCGCGAACAGCGAAGAGCGGGGAGGGGACACGGCGGGCACGCCCACGCAGCAAAAGAGCCAAAAGAGAGGCAAGGCACAGAAGCAGGCCAAGAACGGAGACAAGAAACCAAAGGCGAAGGCCAGAAAGGGGAAGCGGAAGCAGACACCAGAACGGCCCAAAGAACGGCAAGGGGCACGGGAAAGGAACGGAACAGAAGGAGGCGGACGGAGAGGGCCACAAAAGGGGGGAGCCGGACAAACCAAAAGGGCCCAGGAGCAAGGGGAAGAAACGAAAGACGCGAGGAAGCACGGAAGAAGGGAGGAAAGGACAGGGCACCACAAGGGAAAGGCGGGGGGCGAAGAAAGGCCGGAAGAGGGGGACAACAGGGGCAGAAAGAGGGGCACAACCAAAGGGCAAGAAGGGAACGGAGGAAGGGAGAGGAACAAAGACAAGAGGAAGACGGGGGAAGCGGGGGGACGGAGGGGGGACAGACAAGCCAAGGGGGAGGGAGGAAGCAAGGAAAGCCAAAAGCGGGAGGGGAGGAAGCGGAAGGAGCGGGGCGAAAGGAGCACGCCCACGGAGGAAAAGAGGCGGAGCGAAAGGAAGAAAAGGAACGGAAGAAGAGACAGACGCAGAAGGGAGGGAGGGACCAACGAACAAAGGAAGACAGAAGGCCCCACCAGGAGGGGGACAGACGAAAGAAGCAAGGGGGGGGCCAAGGAAAGGCCAACGAAAGAAGGAAGAGAGAAGGCCCCACCAGAGGGGGACAGACGAAAAAAAAAAAAACACAGCGGCCAAAACCAAGGGAGAAGGGGGCGCAAAAGAGACAGGGGAGAGGAGGGAAGCCAAAAGAGGGAGGGCAAAGCACGGAACGGACGACAGGGAGGCCGAAGAACCGAGCAAGAGGCGGGGAGAAGGAAGAGAAGGGACGAAAGGGGGGAAGGGACGGAAAACAGGGGGGGCCAAGGCAAACCAGGAAACGGAGAAGGAGAAGGGAACGAAAGGGAGAAAGGCGAAGAAAGGGGGAGAAAAGGAGAGCGAAGGGGGGAAGGGAGGGAGGGACAGAAAACGGGCCGGGGGGCGAAAGGGGAAGGCGAGGAAAGCCAAGAAGAAACCCGGAGGAGAAGAGGGGCACAAGGACGAAAGAGCCAGAAGAAGCGAGGGACAGAAAACGGGCCGGGGGGCGAAAGGGGACGCAAGGAGAGCCAACGGAAAAGGGAGGGAGGAGGAAACAGGAGCAAAGGAGGGAAGAAGCAAAGGACAGAAAACGGGCCGGGAGGCGAAAGGGGGAGGCAAGAAGAGGCAGGACAGCAGGAGGAGAAAAAACGGAAGAGAGCAGGGCCGGGGCGGAAGCCCGGGGGGCAAAGGAAGAAAGAGGAGCGAAAGGGGACAGCAGAAAAGGAAACGGCAGGAGAGAAGGGAAAGGAGGGACAAAGAACCAGAAAGGAAAGAAAGGGAGGGAGGGCGAGCAGCACGGAGAAAACGACGAAACGACAGGCCGAGACAGAAGGGCCGGGGGGCGAAAGGAGGACCGGAGGCCAGGAGGGCAGCCGGAGGAAGCGAGACAAAGAGAACGAAAGGGCCGGGGGGCGAAAGGGCAGCAGAGGACAGACAAGGAAGCACAAAGGAGAGGGCCAAAACGGGAGGGGAGCAAAAGAAACCGCGGAAGAGAGAAGGGGAACAGAGGAAGGAGGGGGGGCGACGCCCAAAACCAAAGGAAAAGGAGAAGAGCACGAGACAAGGAGCAAAGGCAGGGCCGAAACGGGAGGGAGGGAAACGGAACAAGCGGAGGGAGCGGAAGAGGCGGGAGCAGGCCGGAAGGAACCAAGAGGGAAAACGCAAGAGAGGGCAGGAAAGGAAAGAGGCGGGCGCGAGGCGGGAAGGAACCGAAAGAAAAGCACAGGGCAAGGAAGACGGAAAAGGGTGACAAACAGAGGAGACCAGAGGGGGAGGGGAAAAGCGAAGAGACGCCAAGGAAAGGCGGGGAGAGACGAAGGCGCACGGAAAACCAAGGCCGGAAAGAGAGGAGCAAGGGAAGGAGACGAGGGGCGCAAGAGGGGGAACGCAGGGCCAGGAAAACGAGGAGGGCGCCCGAGGCAGAGAGACGGAAGGGAGAACGGGGGGGGGAGGAACCGAAAACGGGAGGGAGACACCAGAAAACGGGAGGGTGCACCGAGGAGGAAAGCGGAAAGGGAGGAACGAAAAGAGCGGACGAAACGGGCGGAAAGGCAGGCACGACCGCGACGAAAGGGGAGGCAGGAAGGCCAACGGAAAGAGGAACGAAGAGAAGGCCAGCGCAAAGGAGGCAGGGCGAAAGGCAGAAGAAAAGGGCAGAAGGGAAAACAGAAGAGGAGGCGGAGGACAAAGAGGCAGAAAAGGAAACAGAAACGCAGAGAGGCCAAAGAAAGGGCAGAACGGAAAGCAAGGGACAAGAGGAGAGGGCAAAGGAGAAACGAAGAGGCAAACACCGAGGAGGCAAACCAAAAGAGACCCAACAGGGGAAGAAGAAGGGACGGAAGAGAGACGGGGAAAGGTGGAAACGGGAAGCCCAGGGGAAAAGGGGGAAGGCAGAAAAGAGCAAAGGAGGAGAAAGAACGGAAGGACAAAGGCAAACAAGAGCAAACCAAAAGGAGAGGCGAGCAGGGGAAAGGCAAAAGCGCACAAACCGCGAAGGGCAGAAGGAAACGGAAGAGGAGGCACGGAAGGGAGCGAAGGCAGAAAACAAGCGAAAGAGGAGGAACCAACGAAAGAAGAGGAAGGAAACAAAGAGGCAGGAGGCAGACGGAACCAAAGAGGGGCAAGCAGAACGAAAAGCAGAAGGCCAAGAAACGAAAGGAAGGAGGGAAGAAGGGCAAGAGGCAAGGGCCGAGAAAAGAGGGGGGCCAAGAGGACGAAAGGGAGGCAAAAGCACGCGCCAGAACGCCAGGGAAGAAAGGAGGAGGAGGAAGGGCAAAAGGGCAAAGAACCAAAAGAGCAAGAAAGAGCCAGAAGAAGAGGAGCACAGGAGGGAGGAGGAGACGAAAGAGGGAAAAAACAAGGGGAAAACCGCGAACAGGGAGAAACGGGGGCGGAGAAAAGGGGGAAAACGGAAGAAAAGGGAAGGCCGAAAAAAGAGGAAGGGCCAGAAAAGGAGGGGCGGAACGGGAGGAGGGGCACAGAAAGGGAGGGGAAACAGGGCAAGGGACAGAACGGAAGACCAGAACAAGAGGAAGGGCAGCAGAAGGAACGAAGGAGGAAGAGCAAGAAGGAACAGGAGAAGCACGAGGAACAGGAGGAAGGACAAAACGAAAGGAGGGGAAGGCACCGGGGAAGGGGGCAGGGGCGAAAGAGAAAAGAGGGGACGAGGCCAAAGGAGCGGGGAACGGGAACGGGAGCACGAAGGAGCAAGAAGAACCAGAAAAGAGAAGGAAGGGCGAACCGGAAGGAGGCAAACCGCAGCGCGCCAGGCGCGAACAACGAGGACGAGCCACAAGAGAAGAAAAAAACGCCAGAAGGCGCCCAAGCGGCACGAGCGGGGGCAAGAAACGCGAGGCAGCGGCCAAGGGGAC